GACTTGAACACTGGGTTGGAAAGGTAAGAGTAGGAAGCAGAAAGTAGGCCACAAGCCAGGAGAGGCTTGAGCTGGTGGTATACATAGACGGCTGGTGTGGGATAATCTAGAGCTAGGATATGGCGGGGGCTCTTTCTTCCACTACTACTGCAGAACTAGCTGATTGTGCAAGGTCAGTAACCCTCATCAGCCATCCCTACCCATTCACACCCGCCCATACCTTCCTGGATGGATCTTTGCCCAGCTGCTCTGCTCTTTTTCTCACCTGAAAAGACCAAGAGAACAAAGAAGGGAGCAGAGGTTGGGCCAGGTTAGAGGCTATTCACCCTGGCCGGCAGCTATAGGTGAACAAGGAATCTCCAGGCCCCTAGCAATCTGGAATGTTCTATTGGCACAGATGGAAGGGGCAATGCCATGTGTCAAGGGACAACTTTTTGCCTACCTACAAACCCAATTCTCTCAGCGGAGATGTCTATAGCAATTCACCAAGAATCTTCAAGGTTTGAGGCTTGGAGATGGTGAGGGACCAACACGGGTTCTGATGAGAGACAGACCCCATTCCAGTTTGTGCTTGTTCCCCTCCACCTCACATCGACCTTCCCTTCCTGACCACCGGCTCCAGCTTGCAGAGAGGATTACCATGCAATAGTTCAATATTACCAGCCAATGTATAAAAGATGGCAGTTTAGGATTATCAATAATGTATGAAACAGTGCCTGGGTGAATGATGAATACTGAATATTTTTAATTTTTCATATATAGTTGTACTTTGTGAACTTCCAAGAAGAAAATATAGTATGTAGCACTTCTCAAACTTTATTGTACTCTGGAAAACGTTATGGGCTGAATTATATCCCCCTCCAAACTCACATGTTGAAGTTCTAACCCCCAGTACCTCAGAATGTGACTGTGTTTGGAGATAGGGCCTTTAAAGAGGTAATTAAGTTAAAGTGGAGTCATCAGAATGGACTCTAATCCAATGAATGATGTCTTTATAAGAAGAGGAATTAGGACACGGACAGAGACACCAAACACGTGCACACACAGAGAGATGACCATTTGAACACATGGCAAGAAGGTGGCCATCTGCAAGCCAAGGGGAGAGGCCTCAGAAGAAACCAACTCTGCAAACATCCACGATCTCAACTTCTAGCCTCTAGAAACGTGAGAAAATAAATTTCTGTTGATTAAGCCACTAATCTTTGGTATTTCCTTGTGGCAACTCTAGCAAACTAATGGAGAAAACCTATTAATATCTTACGATTGCTTTGGGATATGCAGGAATCATGTTAATAATCATTTCAATACTATTTTGTTAAAATTCACTCTGGACATGTATTCATTTTTATTTCTTAGTTATCTAGTATCACTGATTTATAAGCACTAACTTTTCTACCATTGTGTGAGTTATTTGTGCTTGATTCACACAAATCTTTAAAAGGCAAGTCTCTATCATTATAAATAGACAAACACTTACTGTGCATTCTCAGGCTATATTCCTAAAGCCTATCCAGGGGCTTTGAGACTGTGGTGGCTTTGTAGTATGTCAGTGCAGTAAGGCTGAAACTATGTGTCTCAGAAAATCTAAGCAGCATCTGGAAGGCAGAAAAGAAACGGCAGCCATGTTGGTAGTCAGAAGGTTAGTGTAGGGTCAGGCATTGTCGCAGCTTGCCACAATGCCATGTGTCTGCTGGCTCACCTCATTGATGTAGGGCAACAGCTCTGCCTACAGTTCCTCTAACTCCTTCCTTATCTTCCCTGAATCCTTATTATGTTTGTGAGTAACTCCATGGCAAAGTGCCCCGGCTCTTCTGCAGGTCACCGTCATCAGAGTCGGAGGTATGAGAGACTGATGTGGAACTTGGGTTCCAGTTCATCCACATGGGTTCCATCTCATCTGCGCAGGTTCCAATTTGCGTTGCTCTCTTTGCATCTCTGCTCCACATCCATCTTCCCCCTCATGAAGCCAGCCCATCCTGCTGACTACAGACCTAAGTCTTGACACAGAGACAACTGGTTGCACGGGCAGCTTAACCAGTTCCCATAATCATGTTTGCTCTAATCCCTACTATAAATTCACTTGAAATGGTTTTGCTTCTCTGATCAAACTTTAACTGACACAGATTTTGGAACCAGAGTGGGTGCTGCTGGAACAAAAACCTAACACATGTGTACTGTCTTTTGAGACTGGACTTGAAGTCTATCCATGAGGACTTAAATAAACATGAGGAAAATATTATTGGAATCTGGGGGGAAAAAAGAGACATTTTTTATGTAGTGGGAAATTGAGCAACATTGACACATATAATAACTTGGAAAATAGAAAATATAGTAATGAACTGTGTGATCTAGCTAAGGAGACTTCCTGGCGCAGTGTTGAAAGTACTACCTGGCCTCTTCCAGCTCCTATGATAAAATGAAAGTGTGTGCAGATAAGCTAAAGAACATACAGGACCTGCAGAGTTTGAAAATAAAATACAATGGTTTCTCATTCTCAGATGGCAAACAAATCTAAAATTAAGAAATGGCTCCTGGATCTGGTTCCAGTAATGATGGAGTTTGTAGATTCCAGTCTCTCTCCCACGAATGTGTTCAGAACACATAAAGAAACTAATGAGGACTCCGAAAAGAAATAATAGCAGGTTGGTTGGGGAGGGAAATAGAAACTTCGAGAAAGATGGGTAAGATGGCAGATGAGTGTTCTGGGCTTTTTTTCCTTCCAAATCTCTTGGCAGAGACTCAGGACAACCTAAAACTCATTATTGTTTAACTTGCAGAAAGATCCAAGAGAAACCCCCTCTTTATGATCAAAGAAATAGGGATGGGAGTCTCAGCAGGACAGAGAGAATAGTGAGGGAAATCCTTTGTTTTTAATCCCTCCTGACTTGACCTAATGCCATAAAACATTGAGACTTGGGGATCTTGGGGAGGGATGAGTATATTTTGCATATGGGAGGGGTGTGAGTCATTGTGGCCAGAGGGTAGACTGTGGCAGACTGCATCACCCAAAGATGGCCATAACAGTGTCTCCCACCCCACATGCTCTTTTGACAATATGATTATACTTTCCTCGTTGACTAGGGCACCCCATACTTCAGATACTGATAGTAGGACTTGCTCCAAGATCTACCCTCAGTAACCTCACCCATCAGATGTGGGACCAGGAAAATAGAAAGAAGGGCCTGTCATGAGGTGAGAATAATAGGCTAGATAGATCAGAAGCTTAGCAACCCCTCGTGAGA